GCTGCTCTACGCCTGTGAAACCTGGCCTCTCCGAGTGGGCTGAGGACGTATGGCGACTCTGCGTGTTCGATCATCGCTGTCTCCACAGGATTGCTTGCGTTCGATGGATGGCATCATTACATGAGTAATTCTGGGGTTCGGCGGCGTTTATTTGAACACACCGGAGATCACCATTCATTGAGTGTCGTCATCTGGAAACACCGGCTCCGGTGGCTTGGACATGTGCTCCGTATGTCATCCCAGAGGCTTCCGTACAGGTCTCTGTTCGCTGACCAGCCCTGGGACGGGATGGAAAAGGCGGAGAGGTGGTCAGTCCATGACGTGGCGTCGTGGGATGAAGGATGTTTGTGCTAGATTAGCATCGGTTGGTGCGTCACGGCTCCCTGGTTGTAGTCCGCGAGATAGCTCAAATCGATGGATCGAAGCGTTATCAGATATGGCCAAGAGTCGTAATCAATGGCGAACGTGTTGTAATTTCCTTCTTTCTTCCCTTCCTTTCTTTCCTTGATGAATACTGCTTGTTGCGCATGACTGTTTTCCTTCCAGATGAAGTTTTTTTATCCATTCTCTACTTACATTTTTTTAAACTTTTGATCTATATTATTTTATTATTATGAATATTGTGTGGCACATCCTTCTTGGTGCCATATTGTACCAAGTTTTTTCTCGCGTTTCAATTAATAAATAAATAAAGAATTCATCTGAACAAGCCAAATCGGTGTGTGTATGTATATGTGTTCAAAAGAAAGTTGTACATCCCGTTCTTCCTTACCATGGTCAACTACATAATATGTATGAAGTTTGCAAAAACGATTTCCTGCCCTCCCCTTTGTAACTAACTATATGTTAGCTTTGTTAATTTTTACAATTCCAGCTAATTCTATTGACTTGTTTGTTTGTAGTTTACGTAATTCTTCTGAGTCACCCTATTCTTCTTGTTCCTAGTCGTCATTGCTATTTCACAAATCTTGTTGCTAACGCCGCCTAAGAATCAACTTATCTTGAAATCTGTAATTATTTAATTTTCACCCCTTTCTTTACAAACTTTGATATCTTGTTAGTAACACCTATTAGTTAATTGATGTTTTGATGGCCTTCCACACACTTTATTTCACCCCACTCCCTTATACCTAAGACTGATTGACTGAAATAACCACTTGATTGATTGGTAAAAACAATTTTCTTGTAATAAACGACTACATGTATATTAGTGTAGAGCCGGTCAGCCAGCCAGCCAGTCAGTGGATGATGGAGAACTATTAATTGCAGTGAAGGAATGCATGATTTCTTCGCTCAATCTGGTGTTATCTTTGTAAACCAAGATATGTTCAGTCATTTGAATGCAATTAGCTCTGGATAACAAAAATTACTTGTTTATCGAAAAGATCAAAACTTATGACTGCTGGCTGTTTACATAAAATCGATGACAGTGGTTAGCAATATCCTGAACAAGTAAAGACAAAGCTATATACACAAATCTATCCACATCGAGTACTCTTAGAATACATGTATGTGAAGCTAAAATTACACATATAAGGATAAAACTCAGGCATTGTGGTGGTAAAGTACAACTTCATTATTGATTAAATTTTAGTTAGACAAAGTGTCACACACAGAGTGCTTGTTATACAGTAATATTAACTGACGATCGCACGCGTCGAGCACAATATATTATTGCTACACTACTCATAATCATATCAAGGCAACGCTCACATAACTTTCTAACTTCATTTATATAGTTCCATTATTTCTCACTTCATTTTCGCTTGATTTTATTGGTAGTAGTATTTTCCATATTTCTGGTATGAGTAATGAATCATTCCTATTGTATGTGTTGTGTTGGGTGTAGATTATTCGATGAACAAGGATTCAGTAATCAACCTCTCTCTCTCTCTCTCCACCTACCTAGATTACTTCTTAGAATTTTAACCCTCTCCCACCATGCTACTGTGTGGTCATGTGTGTTAATGCATGCAGTGCAATGTCGTATTGAGTTACTTCTATCCAAGTTATTTATCTTCACGGTGTCAACCATTCTTACTTTAGTTAAATTCTTATGTTCTGATAATCTTGCTACTCCTGTTCTACTAATTTGACCTATGCAGTTGACCCAACTCACAGTCATTGCAAGGTATTTTGTAAATTATATTATTTTGTCTAATTGGGTCAACCGACAGGGTCCTTTAGCCTACCTACAGAGCTTGTCCCTGAGTGAGTTTGTAAGTTTAAATGCCACGACTCTAATTCCTGATTTCTTAAGAATCCTACATAGGGTCTCAGCTGTAACCTCCTTATATGGTAGAACTGTAGACGCCTTATATTCTTTCTTATTCATTTTATCATTATTAATTTCACCACTATTTTTATTTTGCTCTTAACCTTTTTTGATCTTCCTAATGAATTTTATAGGATAGTTAGTTATTTGACACCAAGGCTTCTTCTGTCTGTTTTATTTCATCATTTAGGTCTTTTCTTGTGACATTTAGTGCTACTGCTCGGTTTGTTAGACACTTAACTAAGTCTGCCTTCACAGACAGAAAACGGACGGGGAGACGAATTAAAGTCTAAATATCTACTAGAATGAGTTGGTATTTTGTACACACTAGTGTGCAATTTACCTTCTTCTTTTCGTTTTATTTTACAATCTAACATCATGGCTAATTCTCCTTGTTCATTTTACGCTTCAAATGTGAATTTTATTCCCACCACTAGTGAGTTTATGTGGAGAGATATGTTCTGTTTTTAACACTGTGAAAGTGTCACCCACATAGTAAGTAGTAAGTAAGATAAGTAATTTAGAAAAAAGCTCAGCAATTGCAATGCATGCATTAACACACATGACCACACAGTAGCATGGTGGGAGAGGGTTAATATTCTAAAAAGTAATCTAGGTAGGTGGAGAGCGAGAGAGAGAGAGAGGTTGATTACTGAATCCTTGTTCATCGAATAATCTACACCCAACACAACACATACAATAGGAATGATTCATTACTCATACCTGAAATATGGAAAATACTACTACTATCGATCAAGTCAAGCGATGAAAAATATTGGATTTATATGAATGACGTTCGAAAATTGTGTTCGAAACTTTGTCATCAGTAAATACTACTGTATAACACTCTGTGATTTTACCAAAATAAATTCATCCGCAATGGAATCGCTTCCACGTTTATTGGGTTGGGGTGTCCCGTATTAAGCGGGACTGGCATTCGCCACCATAAACTAAGTAATATACACATCGATTATCACCTAAATTTTACAGATTTCAGTTTGCACAATAGTATTTTCAGTTCACATAATATTTAAGATATTTGGGAGTAGCTTTCGTGCTTGTTGGCACTCACCAACAGTCTGAAAGGTGTATCTACAAACTCGAAGGGAATCAAGTCCCCGCTGAGATTTGAATCCTTATCACCCAGTGCTGCAGTCAAAGAAGTTGCCACTACTGAGCATGGGATCGACACCACTTAGGACTGTATTTAATACTTTGAATCGACACTGGGCTGTAAGTAACTAAAGTGCCATGCATCGTTAAGCCCTTGGCGGTTTGTTGCAGACTGAATTCTATCAGTAAACCATGCAGTAGGGCGTCTATGCCAGCTGGTTTACCATCACGATGCCTTCGTGCTTTTTGACACTGGTTCGAATCTCAGAATTGTTCTTTCAAGGTTGTAGATACGATTGAGCGGTAAACAACTTGGAAACTAGATCAGGCGATGCTTCCTTCCTATTGCCTCCACGACTATCTAATAACAACAATTTTGAGTGCATCCCGATGCTGAACCAGCCAGCATAGTGACCACACCGCAAAATTTACTGATAGAATTCTTTCTGCAGCAAACCACCAAGGACTAGACAACGCATGGCACTAGTTTCTAACATCCTGATATCCCTAACCTTAATCCTAACCCTAATTACAACCCTTTTCCTAACCGTAAACATAATCCTAATTATGACCCCGATCATAACCCTAACACCAATACTTACCTTAACCCTAACGAGCTATTAACACATTGTCGAAACAGTACTTAAGAACGTGATCTGAGTGAAATTTGCTGCTTAGTTGGCAAATAACGTTGATATTTCAGCAGCGATAATGACAGATGCCGTCAGCCAAAGACTAACATTCGTTGAGGGTCACTGGAGCGTTCGCACTCATGGGATGCTATTGTTGAACTTGGCTCATTCACAATGTCCAACATAGTATTTTACTTACTTATAACTTTTTCAACACGGACTGTTGCTCACTTCTCATGTCAGTGTACTGTCACATCACTTTCAGAATTTTTTACACAGTGCAATTATTGTTTGTAGGGATTTGATTTGTATTTTCAAGATTTTAACCACCGATCGATAACTCAGAGATCCACTAAAAACCAGTAGAGTACTGGACACATGTATTTCGTTTTCCTGTCCTCAACTCATCAGCAGTACGCACCCAGTGGGATTTTCAAATACCTAACTCACCAGAGACTGTCTATACTACTCGACGAAGATGCCAATAATTCTAGTGAGAAATCGTAACTAATGGGGTCCATTCGGTAGGGGAATGAGGAAACCGACTCGCAGATGACATTAACCGCTACTGGTTAATCTATTGGCACTAATGTTTTTATCATATTTCAGATATACTGGTGTTGCAATATCCAATATGCATGTGTGTATATCGTTTTGATAAAATGAATAAGACTTAGTGACTGAGCTGTCACCACAAAACTAAATTGCACTTCAGACCTGTAACTCTATCTTACGCTACTTTGTGATTCTGTTACTCTATATTCTAGTAAACCAAGTGGCACAGACTGAATGGTAAGTTTGCCAGCGATTTGAATGCCAGGCAGCAATGAGTCAACCAGTCACCACCTTAGCTATTCTCACATACCCACAGTGTCAGACTACTTACTGCACATATATTATCACCTAAGCAAAAAATTAATCTGCTTCTCACTTTCATCATTCCAAAGCATTAAAATAAACTTCTTGCTTTTATATTTCAGAAGACAGAAGAAGGAGCATCTGAAGCGTCCGAAGATATTTCACTAGATCAAGATTGAACACAAAAACTTCCTACTCATTTCTCCTGTTGAAGAGCAACTCTTATAATATTGATAATAGTCTTCCTATCAACTAACTGCATTATCATTACTAATCTACAGTCTAAAATGTACAAAATACACTTATCTCAGTTGATTGGCGTCTTAACAAAAGATTCACACTTCAGTAATACACGATATGATTTCGATGACTTGCGTTCATACATCCCCATCATTCATCACTCTCTACAGCCGTGATCATTACATTCTACTGTTTAGTATACATTCTGTTGCAAATATCACACGGCCGTACCCTCAAGTCGAGTTTATGCTTACATATTTATTTATATACATATCTATATGCATTAGTATAGACGTACAATCGAAAAGGACACCAGTACTGTCCCTAATGCTTTTTGGAATCTTGTAGTTAAGATGCATACGTACGTACTTTATTCATCGACACAAGATATGTGCAACACCTCAAAATTCAAAATGGTAAACATTTGAATGTGAAGAATATCTAGTGTAATTTAGGGTATACTCCACGTGTACACACTAAAAATTAGGTTAAACCTCCAGATTGAAAAACAATTCACACATTACACAGACTGAAAATCCAACCAACCATACTTAAGACAAATTTAAACCGACAACAGCCTCTCACCTCCGCTACCCTACAATTTTATTACGCTCTCATACAACTTCCAACTGGAAATAACTCCCTCCCCACCCAAATTCTTCGTATACTATTATTCTCCAGACTCGTACGACTCCCCATCATCAGCATTACAAGCGTCATACATAAAACAGACATCACCAACGAAAAGCGAGAAAGAAGACTGAAATCAAATATCCAACATAATTATGATTTAGATGGAGACAAGTCAGGAATGTAGCTAGTGTAGCAGTACGTCAGTGAAATCCACCTTCAGTCCGATAGCCTGACGATTATAGGCGTTACTCTCTACTGTCTTATAATCTAATCTCTAGCTAGACGAGATGTTTGTGTGGATTGAGTTGTTATTATGTTTCTCAGGGTAACGGTTACAGATATGTGGAGTTTAGTGAGCGATGGATTCACTGTGCTGGTGAATAATGAAAGCTGAAAATGTCTTTGCTTTCGTGCTGTTTTACTCCGTTTGCTATATTGTGCGACAACTCAAACGGTTTCATTTGTTTGCTAATTTTCATTTTCAAACTAGTCGGGTTGAGCCACTATTAGAAATATACACGGCCATCGTTTGGCACACAGCTCACACAGATTTTCGTTTTATTTTGTAACAAAGAAGTAAAATTGATTTTTGGAAAGTTAGATAGGTTTTATTTTAAAATGCAGTCCAATCAATGAAAACACCAAACATTTGAGATCTTGAACGAGGTAGTAATATGTCCTTAAACCATCTGGATCTCTAAAACGATACATGTCAGTTTAAATGAACTTACTTGCTGTTGGTAATGTCAATCAAGGATCCTATTTTAGAAGTTGTAAATGAGATGTGTTCATCTCCACACACAATCTCGAGCTCCTGACGACCAACTCTATCTGGAACAGGCCACGTCGCATCATCCTCTGTCATAATATCACTCTCCCGCACAATTCTTTTCAGCTCTTCCATGACTGATTTACTTACATATGCCTGACTTATAGTGAAATATATGCAATAGACCTACTTCTTTCCGTATCATTGTGTCATTCTTGTAATTAGAGTTATTTGCGTACCTTAATTTTCCTAAAGAAGTGTGTTAGAGACGGGCTCGTCTAACCTTCAGGTCTGAATTCAAATTCCAAAAACTCGTGCCCAAACTTTCCTTTATGTCCGACGTAATAACGAAGATAAAATGAGTCAGTCATCAATAGTTGTAAGGCGAATTACTCCTCTATATGATGCCGAGGAGTGTCTTTAAATATCTTCACTATAGTCTGTAAGATTAAAAGTATTACAAGAAATTCGAGTCAGAAAACAGTGCACATCACATAGGAAACGAAGTTACTTAGCATGCAGCATCGAAAAAATTCCCTGAACGTTGCTCAGCTACTCACGAACGACTAACTGGGGATAAAAGAGGCGCGCACATATTACTGCTTTTCTCAGTAATCAGCAGTAAGCTAATTATAGATGCACAGGCCAAACTTAATGTTTTGGTCCCAATAATTGTTTCCATGCAACTACCAGCACCGCTTAGAAGAACCATCTACCCTCGCACAGCTAAAGTACAGCTATAGAGTTCTCCAACACCAAAGAACACACAGTGAAATCAGTCAAAGCCTATAGTTACACTGTGCATACATCGAAAGTGATTGAATGGATATACCATGTGGCCATGCAACTTCAGATATATTGGTTCAGGAGAGAAGGCTTGGAGCCCACGTTAATCATTTTCTAGTAAATTTCTATCCTTCTACATACCCTTCTTGAATGAGTCAACTGAGTTTCCAGACACCACTTCTTCTGGAGTCGGTTCCAAGAGTTTACGACTCGGTGTGAGAACCAGTACTCCATACCAATATAGTTTTTCTTTGGCTTTTGAACTCTCCTGATATATCCTCTAAGGTGATCCGACGTGGTGGGAATGAAAAGACAGAGCAGATATGGTCTGTAGTCATTATTTAAAATTTTAAGTGTTGTAATTAAATCTCCTCTCTGCCTATGGTATAACAGGGAGAAGAGATTAAAACTGTCTAGTCTTTCCTCCTACGATAAATTAGTCATGCCAGGAATCATATGTGTTCCCCTCCTTTAACCCTTTCTGGAATATATGAATCCCTTTCAAGACAAGAACTGGCTGGCTGGCTTCCTGGATGCAGTTTTCCAGTCTTGATCTCACTAGAGATGTATATAGGAGGTGAACATACCTCTGGTGATTCTAGTAAAGGCTCTGAGAATTTCCCATAAGGATCGAGAACTACGTGCTACAATGTGTTGTAGTTCTTAAGTCTTGACTTACTACGACACCTAAATCCGAATGAGTCTGAACTGACGGAAGTTTTATTCCCTCTAGTTCGTAGGAGCTGATGCTTGTGTGTCCAATGTGCGTGGTAGCACATCTCGTTACATCGAGAGCATCCATTCCCTGGGCCACTTTCTCAACGTGAACTCATCACTGTCGCCCTTCAGCTCTCTCAAAATTTAAACGTCATCTGCGCATAGGACTATTATGGAATCGGTGAGCAGAAATAACACATAGATACTTATCAATATCACAGGTCCAAATACTGCGCCCTGTGGCACTTCGCTATGCACTGTGGTCCAGGAGAGGAGCCTTGGGTTCATCCTAACCCTCTGCCTCCTATCTTTGAGGGATTCCCTTGGTCATTTTAATAACCTATCTTTGGTGCCATGACTCCAACTTCATGAGTTACCTTTTGTGAGGAAAAAGCCGGCTTCTGAATGTGCGCCAGGCCTTTGGTTTTCAAAAATCCCGGTAATTTGACATGGGTTAAGTGCAACGGAGACTTAGAAATTAATAAAAAAGAATTAACAGAGAACCAACAAAAGACCTACGGTGAAAGACAATATTCGAAGTCCGCGCCGGACTCAGGTCCACTTAAACGAAATTCTGGTTAAATGCTCTAAAGTAATGAAATTACTTCTGTACTCGTGGATCCCATCTTATTTGCTATGCACTGAAGGTTGAGTGCCGGCGCTTTCCGGAAAACAAAGAGATTCGACTGAGGCATTCAGTAGAAAAGTTTCTCAGGGCTTATTTATACCGACATTATTATCCTCAATTCTCACACGAATTTTGTACGTTCCTTGCCCCCCATGAATGGTAACTGATAATCAAGTATGAGGCAGCTTACTGTTGTCACTTCCTATTGTGGCGTTGTTATGGTGGACACAATTCCCAGGTCTTCAAAAGTTTCTAATTCTCCCTGAAATGTCTCGTTCGTCGTTCTCTGGTACTCTAGCATTTAGTCATCGCAACATTACTGTTATCAATGCAGCCCATTCCTCTCCTACTCATTTTCAGTTATACAGCTTGTCAATGGAGTTGAAGATTGAACGATCAATTCATGGTTGTTTGCTCAAAACCAACTTCCCCAATTTTCGCGGAGGCATCAATACGACAGTCATCGTCTCATCGGTTGCTGTTCAGAAAGAAGTCAGCAGAAAACCGTCAGAAGTAATCTTATGATTTATTATTGTAATATTTGTTCACAGACCTTAGTTCAGTTATTCTTTTTATATGTTGGTGTAACAATAAAGAAATCTCAAGCGGCCAATCGGTGTTTTGGTTTTTTCGTCCGTTATAACTAAGCGTTTCTGAAAACTTCAAGGAACAGCGTGGGCCCGAGCGTAGCGAGAGCTGGGCATTAACGGTTTATGAGACGTGATTGACACAGCTAGTATTGTGTTGCGTTATAAATCCGACTTTCACAATAAGCATATCACAGATGTGCACCACGTTTTACGAACTTCTTGGAATATTAGTATACGCTGAATGCTGAACCACCGATTTAATTGCAGCACTCTGGAAATACATTCCCTACACCAAATAAACGTTTCCATAACATACCTGTTATTTGATCTGCCCCCCCCAACTTATTTCACTCATCTACATGATGTCACTTAACATTCTCCCTCTGTATCCGATTTCTCTTGTCCAGACACCAGGGACACAGGTATGTGTTTCTCCTCGCATATGTACTGTAAGAAACTTCCAGCTGCATCTCATGTAAATTCAACGGAATCAATCAAGTTCCCTCATCTGCAATGCGAGACTAGCCCGGCATTCCCCATTCTTATTTGTTTTCGACCATGCTTGAATCACTTGATCATCTCCATCACGCCTCAACTCTAACGGCTAGTTCAAAAACTTACAATCTTCTTGTAAATGCTCGTTCTATCTACAATAAATCTCCGTAAATTAACTCTCTACTCTCACTGTTTATGGCTTCTTCACTACTAGTTACAGGGGTATGGTTGCATCCTGATTTTAGTGACTGAGTGAAATTAGATGAGGTATTTATTTTGACAGAACAATAAAATTGAAGACTTCTCGAAGGCCAAATGGATGTGAACTACTTCTTATATTCGTTTTTAAGTCTAATACATATTTAGAGGATCAGAGAAATTCGTCCATTCAACTGAATCTCGGCTGATCATCGGTCAATTTTTTCATCTTTGCTAACTGTATCGGAATGAGAACAACTGGATTTTTGGGGAACATTAGCGCAGCTGTTCATTGTGATGTGACCGTATATCTTTGTAATCTTTTCAAAAAATCGTTAAAAAGCAAATTCTTGAACGGACGTGAGGGTCATATTCTCCCCTCTGTTGTTGGGCTCATGTTAGGAGCAGCATGGTCATCAGGTTAGGTGGCAAGGCTGAAGAGTCAGCAGGCATTGTGGCCGAAGTTCAACTGAAGAGAAAAAATGAGCGTTACTTCCAGTTGAAGCTAACCGGAGGCGAGCAGGGAGTCGTTAAAGTAGCTAAAATAACTGACACCCTACAGAACTGTGTTTGTGTATTTGTCCACCCTAGCAGATGTCAGATCCAGGACCACAGCTATTGGTTTGTGTATTATTTCCTATAAACCAGTAATGAATGTATGGATAGCTAACCTTGTGCTCCTTGTTAGTGTCGGTGAACCCAAACTTCACACAAGCAGTCACATACTTATAGATAAAACCGTCGCATAAATATAGGTAGGTCGCTGTCACATGTATGCATATTATTTCGATATAATGTATTATTTCGCGATTTGCACACTGGTTGGAAAATTACATGAAACGTTTATCTGATAATTGACACTAATCTTAAATTTGCTCATCATTTAGACGTACTTTTAAACTGTTATTTTTCGATCTTAGCTATTCTATAGTTTCTAAAGAAACACCGGTGTCGTAAGAATCTACCTCTCTTTAATTACTATTTATAGTTTAATCTTCAAGTTAGGTGAGGGATTTGTAGAAAAGAATCACGTTAATTGTTTTATCTACTAAATGTCTGGGTGGGATTTTTGTCTACAAAGATACATTACTTGCAGTCATTTAATAATAACAACATATACTCATTTTTGTACATGAGAGACGCCAGTTCACAGGCATCATCAATTTAATAAATTACATACACGATTGGTAAGCTTAGTTAGTAATGATAATAAGGTACATATTTATTCCTACCTATATATGACACACCAGTTTTACAGGCATGAATCTCATTTATGGTGAGATTAGATGGTTGCTGTCTTTTTGTCTTTATACGCATGCTTTCTGGTATTGCCTGCATTACATAAATGACTCTGAGATTCAGATATTTGTCTTCTTGCACCAGCACCAGCTGATTTCGTGACATAATGGTTTCTGAAGTTAAGCGGAGGGAAATCTCCTCAGATGGGTTCCAAGCTTCAGCTGACAGAATGTAAGGATTAACTCAAAAGCTTCTTGCCTCACAGCAGTATGTAGTAGTGTCATGAGTAAATGTGTACAACCCACGCTTTATATCTCGGATGTCAGCGAATCAATAAAGGTCTCCACTGGTGACCAAAATGTTTGCAGAAAGCCCAGGGATGAAATGACATGCTTACGCAGTGCTGCTGACCAAAGAAAATGACCGAATAACTGTCCTCTTGATTTCTGCGATGTTATCACTGCTTAGAAGTCACGTTTGGCAATCATATATTGGAAAAAAGGCACACTGCTTGTCAATGTCCAGGTCTTACTACACTGGACCTCACGCTGTCCCTGGAAGACTTTCGGAAACAATTTGCCATAACCAACGCGAAAAATCAGAACACAGATTGGAGACTTGAGAACCCTTTATTCTTGAGCCAATATGTAACCAAAAATAAGGTTATTATACACAAGTTTTTTTATAGATTTCTCTCTTCCGACCAACAGCGAACGATGAGTTGATGACTGATGGATTGATGACTCCAGCGAAAAATATGGAGGAGTTGGGTTTGAGCAAACAACCATGAATTGGTCGTTCAATTTTCACATACATTGACAACAGTCTTTCAGAGACCTTGGAGTTCCTTCTACCATAGCAAGTCTGTTGAAACAGTGAGCACAGTTGGAACTGCACACGGCTAACTAAACCGCATTTTCTATCCCAGCAGATAGACTTTTTGGGATAAAATATTCTCTTGACGTGGTATAATACACCGAAATCCGAGAAAGAATCCACTCTTCATAAGAATGCGGCGATGTTTAAAAAATGATTTATTTTCAGTAGCTAATGAATGCGGGGTAATTTTCGCGATGCACTTTCGGTTTTACTATTCGGTTCGGATTCTTCTTTCTCATTACCGGTGCCATCCCCTTTTTTTCTATCTCTCATTTTTTAAGGATATACTTCCTCTCCTATTTTTTCTTTGCTGCTGGTTTCTATTGTCAGTCTTATATCGTACTGACAAACACCAGTATTGCGAGTCGCTTCCCACTTCCCATTTCCACGCGAATTAAACAGTTTTGTAATTTACATTGGACCGGTGTATATTTATTGTTGGGATGGACAACCTATCGTTGTTAGCCATGAAGTTATAATTTATGCGTCCACTGGCATGATAGCCTACCTGGGATGGTTTTGACTGGTCTATTGTACACTTGAATTTATAGGGACTTAAGGCCGCAGCTTAAACTTCTGATGACTTGCGAGACACAAAATAGTTGTCACCCTGTTGCACCTAAACCTGACTTTCGTATCTAAGCTTGCAGGTGATCAGGTGGTTATATTATCGGGACTAAAAGCCCATCCTGGTCAAGTTGGAAGAAAATCACAAATCAGCCATTCCACCTTTGCTTGGGTGCATACATTTGTTGACCTCGAGCTATTTCGTTCAGCCATTGTGTTTCCCAGTGCCTGGACACCAGGTAACCTCAGGACTGGAGAAGTATATCCTACAGCCAGCGTAGAGACAACATTCAACGAAGATAATATGGTAGAGATTTCAACGTGAAATCTGAACTATAGCTAAGTCGTTCCAAATAAATTCTTGTTAGAAGGTAAAACGCTGAAAATTCTGCAAAATTTGCTCTACTTATCAAAATATCCCAAGTGATTATGATACAAACATTCAGTTTTAGGCTATCCGGCACCCAAACACAAAATTGAGAAACGGCTGAAATAAATGGCTCGTGGTTCACAAAAGTGTGCATTCAGATAAAGTTGCACAACAGTTCTGGATAAACCGCTAAACTGTCTAATTAAGATGAAAGTAGAAAACAGTACATTGAGTCCATATTTAATATCTGACAGTACAATATTTGGCATGAGACTCAAAAATTTACAACTCTCTAGTGTTTTTAAGAAATTAAGGTGTTTGTCAGGTTTCAATACCAGCCACGATACTACCTTTGGACGTAATATGCACCTTGGAAGGATTGCGCGATATCCATCTGCTAGACTCAGCCTGCAGAACCGTATAAGAATAGATCATCTGCAAAGGAATCTACAATCCCAAAGCATATGGAACAGAATGCCAAGACACCAACCAGCATCTAGAGGTTCATTAGGAAGATTTCTTTACAGAAGGTCAGTGTCAATGCAGTTGAAGATTAAACGATCAATTCATGGTTGT